GGATTCGATAGGTTCATGATCTGAATCAAAAACTTAACGATCTTCACAACCCTATATTTATAATTACCATGTGCTCACTGGTGGCTAGCTTCGTGAGGCGATTCTTAGAGTTCTAGTGAGAAGCCGTGACCAGTGGAGTTAGTCCATGTCGGGTAGAGACAGGTATCTACCTCAGTACAATGAAAGATGGTCGCGCAATTTCGTGGATTGGTTGAGGTTAGAGATTAACACGTTTGGATACCGGGCATTTCAGTGGTCCAGTAGGTTAAGCGTTCGCGCACGAGACTGGAGGCCCTGGGTTCGAATCTCTCGAGGCGGAATCGTGGACGCGCACTGCTGAGGAGTCCTACAATAGGACAAAACGGCCGTCCAGTGCTTTGAGGTTTTCCATGGTGGTCTAACATCAGTCGGTTCATGATATGAATCAAAAACTTAGCCATCTCCACAACCCTATACTGAAAATAAACTTTTGCGTGATATATGAGTTATCTAACTTATGTCAGGGGATAAACATTACTATCTTTGGAACATGTGCTGTAACACAAGTTTTGTTTCACAAAACCGCGTATCGTTATAGAAAATAGTGGTAACATTTTAAGTGTTACTTGTCAAAATAGAGAGTAAACTCTAATCAATCAGAAGTGAGTCGTTCAGTTGGATTATTCTGTTTAAATCAATGGCCTTTCAGAAATACGGAGACCGTTATTTACGCTTTGATCTAATTCAGTAACAGTAATATTCTGTTGTTTTATATTAACAAAACTATGTTATTTCTGTATATCTGATAAATTTATTTAAAATAACGTCAAAAATAAGATTTCGCCTGAATTGAAGGGGTCAAATAAGGACAAGTGGAAAAATAGCTACCTACTGAGACGATGAATGAACTGTTTCAATATCATATGGAAAGAAACAGGAATCAATGAACAGATTATCACCTGATACTATTATAAAGAGTCATCTGAGAAATGAAAAGATGAATAAACTTATTAGAATATTAGTATATAGGGAACGACTTGGGTTGCGTTTTTTCAAAACAGAAGCACGATACTATAAATGAAAGTGTTATTCTGAGTCAAGATGTTTTATCTCGATGTATCCATGATCTTTTTGAAAACTATAATGCATGTTTAGTTGTTAAGCGGGAACACTTTCATCTTCCTAGTAAACAACATCCAGATATTACTTTCATCCGACCTACAGAGACATTTTAACCCAGTATTTTAATCGCCGATTGTTTCCCTAGATTCCTATCTTTTGCTCCTTTCCTTTAGTCAAATTATTTACTTAGATCTCGGATTCCTCCACGTAACAACTCGAGTTAACAAAGTCGGATTTCCGGTTTCTCAAGGGTGCACCACATATTTGAGTTTCCGTCATTCATATTTTGTCAAACCAACCTATAGGCTTCATTAGTTGAAAAACAGACACTCCCGAGTTAAATCCCAATTGATATTTATCTGTAGTATCCTCAGTTGGATGAGCTTGTAAGATTTTCGAAAGGTCAAGTTACGTGTCTTTGTTCTTTGGATTCCAAACTGGCTACAGCTTAAACGTAGAGGTCAGTTTTGTTGAATATTACACAACCTTCTCAGAAAAACCCAGTACTCAAACGTAGTAATTTATGCAGGAAGCTTTAACGCCTAAATATGGCAGTCCAAGTCAAGCAAATATTCAAGTGATGATTTGACATTCCATCCCAATGAATAGATCATAATAACTTCCACTGGCACCCCAACCCGACCTAAGGCCTCGTGTCGCTGCTGGGTAGTAGGGGGAGCCTTGCCAACCAACTTAGGCGGTCAACGGAGAACAAACTGATTACACACTCTATTGTATCTTTGATCAACTTAAGGCTCACATAGCCGCACTGAGCCATTTGATTTGTATGCTTATATACAAGAATTGCAGAAGTCTTCGGGCTTATGTAGTTCATATATGTAGGTATATTCAAAAGGGATGCGTGTGGTGCCGTACGAAGGAAACGCCAGGTGAAATATTGTCTGCCCTATGCCTAATAAAATAAGCAGCCTGTTAATCAGATCAAAGACAAAAAGATTTAGCAGCAAATGCCAGGAAGAGACGAACAATAACCCCTCATGAGAGAATGTTTATGCTTATGCGTGTGTCAGGAAGTAATGGGGCGATAGACATGTGCCCAATTATATGCATGTAATGTGTAAGAGACAATCTGGTGTAGCGAATATGTTCCCAAGGGAGTGGCGAACACATACCCTCCCAGGCACGTGAACATACCTATATGTATGCTATGAGATGCACGGAACAAAACCTGTGTTACTGGTGTGCATATTTGTGTATACCAAGCAATACTCGGATGAAAGTCTGTGTGTTGCCTAGTATGCATGTTGATCACACCTATTCATGGTAAGTAATCACTAGAAATCCTTTACTTGTTCGTATTACGCTATTCAGAGTTCTTGGATTTCAGATGTTAGGTGTGAATTGTGGTCGCGTGACGAAAGTCGGATAATGTTAAGTAGAACTTAGCTACTTATCAAATCCCACTAAGACGAGTAGTCTTTCGCTGAAGCGAGCGCAAATTTCGCCTTCTTTTCGTGGAAGACACTTAGATAAGTAGAGCTGATGAGTCGCAGATAACAAAAGCCTTGATATAAACACTACTCGACCGGCTGAAAGGTAGGTACCGACGACACAAACTGTTATTTTAATGGACCGTATAAAAACAACCATCATGTTATACAAGAGTTTTATTCACTTCTGAAGTACGTACCCTTGGGACAACAATCAGTTGCACTAGCAAGATCGCAAGTCGGTAAATGAGATTTCGATTTATATCTGGTTAAGTGGTGGGGATATTAGCCAAGCTCACCGTTTTCCTGTACTGATGTTACATGAACACTAGCACCGAAGTCCTCTAGAACAGTATTGAGATTAGATGACACGGAAACTGACCTTGGAACCACCGGCTATTAATTCTAGCATCTGATAGCGGTGCATACTCCGAGTGTCTGCTAAGTTGAGTACCTTGAGTGGGATACACAGACGCAGTTATGCTCATTCTTAACCTTCACTTGATTATGCTTCATACTACTTTTATATTTCGCACTCATCGGACTATCATTGCAAAAATAAAACACCTTATATTATCTTGGTTCACTGCTTTCTTGGTGTCTGTTAGGGCAGTGTGAAGTGGTTCTTAAAACACATTGCCAGTACATCCTTTATTTCTATGATTGCTGCCCAAAACCTAAAATTACTGACTACCCACCCACTTGACTATTCAGTACCTCAAGTAGATGAATACATGTACTGCTGAGTGTACAACAGCATGCATGATCTACAACTAGACTCAGTAATACTTGAGCTTTGCATTACTTTCATTATAAGCACCCACACCTTCGTGAATGGTTAGGCAGCTAAAACCCTCAAACAAATCATTTCATTCCAAGTCATCTTATGCGTCTACAAAGTACAGTGTAACTCCCTAACCATAATGCACTTTTTGCAGACTGTATTTTTTTAATGATCTTGACCTTTCGACAGATTATTTTTTTGCTTTTTAGGACTACTAGACTCGTCGTGCCATTTACCGTAAGTATACCGCCTACAGCACTAATGTATCTAGGAACTGAACTCGGAGAGCTCAAGAAGTACAGTCAAACTCTACGTTATGTTAAAATATCTCCCGGTCCAGCACCCAGACATGATATAATTACATTGCATAGACATGGACATGCATTCGGCGGGTTACCATGGCTCTTTTGGATTAGTTTGGTTTTACTGATCGCTATTTTTCACATGTTTTTCTGTAAAATCATATACAACGAACTGCGAAATAAGAACCAGAAGTTTGAACCTCAGAATTCCTGGAAGTTACCACGATACGCGTCTGATTTGATCTCCTCAACAGGCCTTGAAACTAAAGCCCTTAGAAACACTCAGATTTCAAGACGAAGAATAGTTGATTTAGACACTGTCCCATGACTGGGTCATAGTGAATCTAACTATTTTTCCTCCAATTTGCTTTCTTTTATAAAAAAAAATATTTTTAGAGATAAACATTTATATACATATATGAAACAAAACTGTTTTGAACAAAGCACGCTTATTCATACTGAAAAATATAGTGTTAGAAAGTAATATTACACAACAGATGTTTATGGTCTTCAAATTTATTTCCGAATGAATTACGGTTGGGTGAGCAACTCTTAGGAAGTGCACAACACCGGATACCATAAGTTATCCAAGCATTACACAAAAATACAACAAATTAAACCAAAAACAATTCGTAACTTGCTTTGCGAATGATACAGGAGAGGGAAGTTATTAATTTAGAGTACTGTTAAATTAGTGACTGGACACTTTGGCTAGCAATGTACATTTACAACGAGTAGTTTCAAAATACCAATACATTTCTAGATTTTCTCTGTACATTCCAAAAGATTTCTGTACAATTATTCTACAAAACTAAAGAACAGCTGCTGCCACGCAAGCACTTGGTCATCAAACAGGTCAGTAAAAGCGTTGTTAGGCATTGAAAAGTTTATCACAGATACCGAGAGCGCTAGTAAACATAAAAGACAAACATAACTACGAACAAGTAGGCAGAACAATAACCAGGCTGTGACAGGTTAATAGGCTGAAGAAGTTCGAAATAAAGATTCTTAGTAAAAGCCAGGTTTAGCTGCCCATGAGTACGCCACTAGAAAATGCTCCGACAGCTTTAACCAGTTAGAGCGTACCGGGAGTAAAGGCAAACAAAGCGAAGTTAAAGCGCCATGTGAAATTAAGGGATGACAAAACAATATTAGAAGGGAAAGCGGCCTGTTTAGGTGAGCTGCCGCAAATGAGCCGTGATTTACATTGAAAGAGTTGAGGCTGAAAGTCAAAAAACAGAGATCTAAATTACAAAATGCAAAGAACAAATGCTAACCAGAGTTGGAATCAGAACATCATCATATACGTAATTTAAAGGACATGTAGGAAGGGCATGATGACACTCTGCTTACGATAGATTTTTAGCTACTTTTGTGACCTCCTGTCGAATCAGCAGGCGATGTGCGACCGGAATGATCGGCACTATGAACATTGTTACGAAAGATTGATGACGCATATGAAACGTTGTGACCTGCGGAAGACTCCGAATCATGTTGAGGACTCGAACCGTTCATTTGCATCCAAGTATTAGATACACCGTTGGGACAATAATTTAGACCGTAGACAAGGTTTAGAACCCGTTGGTCAATTTTCCCACCACTATGCTCCTAAACTCAGTTAGTACAAAGTAAAAGCAACATACCTCCAGGAATCTGAAGAACGTTTCACCTGTGAGCATTGCGTCACTTCCAGCTTGGTGCTGTAAGCCGATACGTGGTACTCTCATTAAGTCGGCTAACTCTTGTAATCCACTCTTGGGGAACTTGTGCTCACTCATCATTGACTTTAGATCTACTATCTTGGGAAAGAAAATCAACAACAGCTTTTGAAACTCCAAGAAGTTGTCCGGCATCCTCATCCAATCTGTACAAATCTTCATCAAATAGGCAAAATCGTAGGCACTAAATATGGCTTTAATTTAGCTCCTCGAAACCTACCTGTGGAACCCTATCCACGTTATTTTGTCATTCAGCGGAAGACCACTGGTAAGAAAGGCCTCTGCGAAATCACTAAGTTCAACTCCTGTTCTTTTTAACTTATCGAAGTCTATTCCAGAAACTTCCAATAATTGAATAGAATCGGCCGCATGCATTTCATTGTCAACATTCCACTTGATGTTAAACTGCACAGTTGAGACCGAATCGACCGTCTGACCACTCTCGTCGAAAAAACTAAACCCAATCTGTATTGGTTTAAGCATGTCAATATTAACTTTAATATTGTGGTAGGCTTGTTCAAAACTGTTGGCGTACTCACCAAAAACCTTTGCAACAACACCTGGAAACTCTGTATCTACCGCAACATACTGACATTCTCGTACAAGTCTACGGACAAGGCGCATTCCCTCATGAAAATTGTGGGCCCAAATATCCCAAACGCGAACTTGACTGCTATCCTGTGGAACAGTGAGGGCGGTGACATTGTTAGGATTGGAATGAACATGATGCAGTATTCCATGGTGGACGTGATTATGTGTAGTATGTCCATGACTGTGGTACGCGGATCCAGAGGTGTAACTATCAGTTGTTACTGTCATATTAGATCGGTAGTTATACTTTCCGAAATGAGGATTAACAGGTGACTCGGGAAGTGAAGTATGAAGTATGTGGTTTGAATAGCCGTTCTGTGTTATAGATTGGAGTTCGCGAAATGGGTGCATTGAATAACATAAGTGACACATTCAGTTATCCCGTCTGAAAATATACACAAGAAATAAGAATCACACCAATTACGTAAAGCAATAGAATAAGATAACAAAGATAGGCAAACACATACCAAGACCGCTCATAAGAGTACGACAATAGTTCTATTCCGCACTTTGACACTTTCGCTTCCCCCCAAAAAATACAGAGTAGCTTGATGAAACAAAACGAGTGTTTTAGAAAATTAAGCATTTTACTCGCTGACGTTAGTGTTTATTTATTGACTAATAATTACATAAGCAATTTTTCAATATAAATCGCAAGACTTCGATACTATTGCCGTACAATATACAATCTTCATCTTTGCACTTTTTAAAGACAGAATACCCCAACCATTTAAGATGCTGAGACAGTGGCCCGTGGCTCATAAACATGGCAATTACTACGACGACAACTAAAATGTAGAAAACAAGATGTCAAATTAGTCGTAGTGAACTGTGGCTCTGAATATTCAACAGATGATCCTTGTAAAATGGGTGTAGAAACCTCGGAGTAGGTGATCTGCAGTAGTACTTGAATCCTTGAAAATTAATGATTCTGTAAGTCTTTGACATTTGATGCTAACTGCGTTAGTTTTAATGGACCCACCCAACTAAAGGCGCTTTGTCATGCACCACATCTACACATCTACAACCGCTTGTCAGCTTAGATTAAAAACTTATCGATATATCGAAAGCCCATCGAATATGTCTTCAAACCTCTCAGCACACTCCCTGTTATCTGGATAAACTTGGAGATGGCATTATCACTACACTCGTCCGATTACAAACCATTGGAATACATAATATCATAAGTTCTGGTTCAGTACACCATAAATCTCACTAGATATGGGTTAGGTGCCATGTCTGTGTCAGATTCATGCTCTAATGGATGTGATGATATTGGTCGAATTGAACACATTCAGCCCAGGAAGTGATCACACTGTCCAGCGCCCTTAAGTCTAACACGTGGACATTATGGTGCATCCCAATGTATAGAAGATGACGTGAATGTAACCAACCTTACGGCCTAGATCGGAGACTGAACAGTCGACTTGGAAGCATCGGTTGGAGTGTTTTGAAGTCGATTTTAAAGGTTTTTGTCTCATTTTTCACATTCTAGACTGTGCCAAAGGAGAGAAAACTTGAATATTCCTGGATACATTGTGAGATTTTCTTGCGGCAACAAAAGTTACTGGAACATTTCCGATATTCTTGGAACAGAAGAGACAGTTAATCTTTGCACTTCAATTCAAAATAATTGAATCATGACAATCTGTGCACCACAGAGAGAATCAAGCAACCGATGCAATTATTCTCAAACATCATTTACAGAACGACAGCATGTTTATAAAGTCTCAATTCAATTGGTGGGCGGAGTGAGTCATAGATGGGAGAGAAACCAAGGCTAAACGAAGGCTATGGCAGGTTACTTCATGATGACGTTTGCTCATGAGCTTATTCATAACACAAGATTGGCCTCAGAATCGATGTCACCTAAACGCCCCCCTACTGACTTCAACCAGGATGCTGGATTAAAGTCACTGAGACCTCCAAATAGAGAAAGAAACAAGAAAGGATGGGCCACATCCTTAGACTATTGATACAACATGTGATATATCTCTTTCCCTCGCACTGTAACGTTCAAAATGCCTGTCAGCCAATATGACGCCAGTAGGCTAGAAGGATGTGGCTGCCACTCTAGTTTCCAAGAAAGGATCATGGTAACTATCAGGGTACAGACTATTAACATCACCGTTGTCGTAGTTTTAGCATTAAAAGAACTGTAACAGCTTCAGTTGACTGGTTAAGAGTTGACCTCAAACAACTAAGTCAAATGTCGAAACAATAGAGTTCAAGTATTCATGCACTTCCCTATTTTGTATAGACATTATATTTCTTATTATCTTATATTGAAAAGCTTTGTTTGTCTGAACAGACAATCCCACGCTCCACCGTGACTAGGCGAAAATATAGATAAAGGCCTATTCACTACTAGTCCGATTTCTTATGTCAAAAGAACAAGGGTTACCGATAGGCACGAAAGAATCGCCAGGGAGTTCGATATAACCTTCCTTTTAATCAATAAGATGGCTGTCAGTAAGCAGTACGGTTCAGTGAAAACATGTCGTGCGTGGTGATCTACCTGACAACAAGATAACGATACATTGGGTCGTTCAATGACTAAACATCGACGGATATTGTCTACGTTTACTTCGGCAAAGCCTTTGATAATGTGATGTATTATAGGCTCCTACTAAAACTAAAAAAATTAGGTGTTTCTGAGTCCTTGTCAAAGTGAACCCAACGCTGTTTTGTTTGTTGACAGATGGTAATAATAAATTTTGAATGTTCACCCTGGAATCTAGTTTACGGTAGAGTACAGTATAGCTCTGTCCTTTGCACTCATTTGTTTAGACTTTATGTGAATTGGCTACTCTGTGTCGTTAGGCCTGCGATGCTACTTTGCTCTCGTGACGTCAATGTCTGGAGAGAAGTATCAAGGGATGATGCTCTGTATGACTTTCAGGCCAACGTTAACATTCTGGCGAGTCGGTTTCAATTATGATCTATGCTCATTATTAAGATAGGGTATGTCCACAAGCATAGGTGATAGGAAAATGTTAGTTACTCCAGCGCAGTTGATGAGTCAGACCCTGTGGCCTTGCACTACAATAATCTAGGTTTAGTAACGGCTCATGGTTTCAAGACCAGAGACCACTTTCGTTACATAGCAGATAAATGAATTATATTACGTCCAAATTATGCTCGTTCCAGTTATTAAGTACGGACTTTCGATCTACTTGCAAATTACGACCACTTTCTTTCTTATATTCAAGGAAGGGCTGCAATTAAACGCAACTCAATTTCGTAAATGTGCAAGATACACTTTCTGTATAGTGGTAATCTCGATTCAATGTTGTTGGAATTTATCATTATGAATCCGGTGAGCTTTCTAGCTTTGGATACTTGAGATGCAGAAAAGTTTAGACTGTTGCTAAATCTTAAACCCAAGACACGAACAGTGTTGAGAGGTTTGAGTGTATGTTTGTGAATAGTCAGATTTATGTTAAAATAGCGGCCAGTGTGAATAAATCCACTTTCGTCAACATTAAGTAGCAAATTCCACGAAACAGTCCATTCGTACAACTTGTTTATTTCTTCTTGGATCGCTTTCTTTGGTGGGAGAAGAGAATGAATAAACCACTTTTAGATAGCTGGCGAAAAGGAAAGGCTTACCATACTGAACACACGTCACTGATGGAAAGGAAAAAGAATAATGAATAAATCACACTTCCTCATATGACCTTATTGGTTACATTCACAGGCTTAGAGTAGCAAGATCCAAAGCGGACGATTTGGCTACGTTCTGCTAAAAACGATGTGAGCCAAATAAGATATTTCGTATGCTAAATGAACAAAGTTTTGGAAGACGTTTTTGTAAGACACTGTTGAACTGTTTCTGGCAAAATGTAAACTCATACCAATTTTTCGGAGACTTAATAGCTGGTGTTTAGCAGCACAAAGTTTGCATAACCTTTTTGACTGACTGAATCTTTCATGGCCAAAGTTCACTTTTGACTCGTTTTCGAAGCATGGTCGAGTAACGCACTCTCAAATTTCAACCTGAATTACAAGGAAACCAGATTCAAAAACTAGCATCCACATTTTATTGGTAAGATAAGGATTTCAATACCGAATATATTGTTTTAATGCTTATTATAATAACTTTTACATTAAACTTTCATTTTTTGGGTTTCAAGGTGAAAATACAAATGAAATTAAAATTAGATAGAACCAGAAAGTATAAAATACAAATTGTCAACAGACAAACATCAAGGTTTGAGTGAGACAAATATACTCTCAAACCATTGAAAGTAATGATATTCAGAATAACAGTTTAGGGTGAGTTAAATACTTTGAGCTCATAATAGTCTACAAATCATGTTTTATATTTTCGATTTCCTAGAAACTGTACTTTTCCTCTCAGACTCTGTACATCTGTGCATCATTTTCATTTAGATCAAACACACATGTTAGTGAGTCAAGGTTAAAACTTTACAATGTGTTGTCCATTTTCCAGTGTCAAGTTCCCTAATTTTTCTACCAACTAATATCCATTAAATATCTGTTCTTCTTCATGTCCTCCAAAACACATCTTTTGCTTAAAAACATAATTATACCATTGTGGGATATAATATTACAAAGACATTTAACCTGATATGTTTGTAAAATTGTAGTAGTGGCGATTACAACAAACTATGCAGCATAGAAAATTTTGTGTGAAGGACTGTTCTATTGACTGAATAGAGCGTTACATCAAAAAAGAGGAATAGTTGTGTTACAAAACATTAATCATGATTTCAACGGAAAGAAAACGCTTAAAGTCCATCTATAGCATTTTATTGGACAATATTGTCATTTATTCGTTTTTTCTCCTCTTATTTTAACCTTTATTCAGGTTCCCTTTTAGTCAAACTTTATATGCTTCAGTCTTCCTTGTCACTGTTTTGTTATTTGATCTTGGTTAAAGATGTATTTTTCATTATTTAATTTACTATTGTATGTTGCCGGACCATCGTCGTGTGTGGCGGCGTGGTTCAGTGTAGGACTATTAACCTTTGACTGTCTGCTTGCAAAGGTTGCCGGAATCCTTGCAGATAAACGTCTGATCCTATGTTGTTGGGAATATTTTTTGATTATCGGGTGTCGAAATTTTGTTCATTAACTATTCTTTTCGCTTTTCAACATGTGGGTTTGTGTCAGAAAAGCCCTTGACTGTGTAGCGCTGGCTGTACTGTTTGAGATATTTTATACTTTTAATACAATTTGTTCTCTCTTGAGTTAGAATCATTTAGATTGAACTCAGGGTTTGTATTTTGATATAATTGAATTTGAGTCACTCAAAAACGCTTCGTAAGCTACATAGAATAATATAATTTGATCATAGTGAATTAAAATTTGGTTCGATATACAAATTAACGTGAGGATATCTCGAA